CATTGTCTAATATGTAAAATGATTTGAAATCCCCGAAACAACTGAAAAAGAAGAATTAAAAATAAATAGCTGAAAATAACAATTATATTAAGCAAAAATAACCTGAAATGAAATAATAATAAAATACAAGTAAAATTAAAACGATTAAACAAAAAATAAAGAAATACAAATAAATATAAATAAAAAAAAGTTAAGAGATTCCAAGCCACGTTAGTTCACGACGTTTCGATTGTTAGTATCTACAATCGTCTTCGAGAGATGACTATTTATGGGTCGTTCGCGTACTTTCACTTATCCCCACTTTCCATTTTTTCGCTTCACTGGTTCAGTGGGAGATGACCGTTTGGCGGGAGTTGGTCATTTTTCGCTTGATGATGGGTTTCCATTTGTTGGACGCAACATTTTGCGTGCTATAATAATTGTTATTTTCAGCTATTTTTTTTTATTCTTCTTTTTTAGTTGTTTCGGGGATTTCAAATCATTTTACATATTAGATTAGACAATGGAAGTCCGAACTAGTGAAATTCATAATACTTTGAATGGTTTGCAGTGCAGTTCACTGAAGTTTTGGCGCATGTACACTGAAATCACAAATATCTTCATTTGAAGTACTTTTTCATCTACCATGGTAGTTTCGACTGATGCTGATAACCTTCAGATAATCATTAGAAATATCAATGAAATTATTGGCTTTCTACTACTACTCCTCGATACAAAAAAATTTGGAAAGAAAGGAAGGAAGCAAGAAACAGTTACTTTCATATACACATTGAATTACACAAATACTTTTATAAGAGCATTGAATTATTCAAAAAAGACTTCTCTACTCACTTTACATTCCAAACATTCGTTATGGAACTGAATCATATATCATTCACAGGATTCCTTCCACAATATACCAAATGAAAAGTAAAATTGCATTTACATAGGACACTGTCGCCCTCACTGGTACACATCGATTTTTCACCGTGAGACACTTGCCTTAGGGCTCTTCAGTACCAATATGGATAACAAAATAAGAAAAAACACACAGTTCATTCATATAATTACGACTTCATGTCACAGAATGAAACGGAATGAGTTTGATCTACTTATGCCATCGATGGCATCGTAATGACATTCATTCGCTTATTTGATTAAATCCCAGCCAAGGGAACCTTGTTTGAATTGAAAGGGTTTATTTTTATGATAATATAATATACAACTCTTTCAATTGTTGAAATATTGAAATATATTTCATAATGATGTCGAATAAACTCATTGCGAGGCATTCATTCAAGAAAATACTGAAGTTATTTCGTATTTAATTATTTTACCAAATGTATTTCAACATGAGCTCTACTAAAATATTCAATATAGTATATTATTTCACATAAAGGCATGTCAAAATTACCACACTTGGTAGAATTTCTTTTGTACATGTACCAACGTAGTTATTCATAGATCACTGCCCTAATTTTTTTTGTACTCGTCCTTATTTGAAAAAAAAATTGGTAGACTACCTACTCCATTCAGGTTACTGATCAATATCGAATAGAAAAAAAAAGTGAATGTTTTTCCACTTGAGACACCCTTCCCACCCCCTTCCCACCCTACAAGGCTGCGAAAGTATTACTTTCAATAATTATCTTCATTAAAGTTTATTGACGTTTTAGAATATTCATTAAAACAAAAAGTTATTTATCCTGAGCTCTTTAACGTTACATCTTGATGTAAAAGTGAAATAATTGTTTTGATCTTTTTACCGATACCGTTTCATGTAAATTATACTCAACTGCTTCATCAATCCACATTTGAGGAACAATATGAATAATCGAAGCAAACTAAATCAACATACCTAAAACTATACTAATGTAGTATTTACATATTTTGAACAATAACGAACACACCACTTGAATAAGACATAATATGAATACAAGATATAATAGAAGACGTAAATACATTACTTTAAATCAAATAAAAACGAGGTGGAGTGGAAAATGGAGCGATCCTCAAAAGTTTTCGCAAGGAAGCAGTAGCAGTTTTCTTCTGGTAATTTCTTACATTTTTAAGAAGACTGAATTTTTGAGTGAGTCAGGTGACTGATTGTATAGTTTGAGTGGGGTTATGATTGACCTTTTTTAAAGTAAGTGAAATATTAGAAATATACATTTTGTTTGAGTTTCTTGTGGTATAATTATTGACATCCCCAAAAGTGTTCAAATTGTCTAGATTATCGTAAATGAATCATACAGCATTTAGAATATAAATATCAAATATCGTTCATATTCTATGAGCCCTAAAAAAAGAACAATAGTGTGTAGATCGTTACCAAATATATGATACTTCTGATGATGCCCATCTATCTAACGAAAACCACCTCAGCACTATAGGAATGTTTCCCCAACAAAGTATCCCATATATAAGTGATAGGTAATAATAACACATTACAGTTGAAGAATGGCATAATTTTTCGAACATTGTGATTTCCCCAGTTTATCAGCATGTGTCTCCGAGGTTGGATATTGATCGACAAGTATACCTAGAAATTCAAAAAAATCACTTTGCTTGATAGATTTGTTGTCAGTACCAGATTTTACTTGTATACTGACATCTAATTTCGATGTAGTAGGTGAAAATAAAACAAAATTAATTTTTCTACGGATGCTATACAATGTGCTACTTCTCTCATCGCGTTCATACGTTCAAAACGAAAGATTTCTCATGCAGTGAGAAATGTCCACCATTGCAGTGAGAAATAATTTCTCACTGTTATCACGATAACCCAAGTCAGTCATGAATTGTTACATGTCAGATTGATATGACACGTTCTCAATGTTGACAACGCTACGCCGACGATTCGCGTGCAATATCCAAGTAGCCCATTGTCGGCGTTTCCATAACAACAAAACCGAAGCACTGCATAATTATTGCTGCCAACTTACCCAACGAAAATGGTTTTATTGTTGATTGTTATAGTATAAACAGTTCAGATTTATCAAATATGGAATATAATGGAATACTAAGATTTAGAGTTGGAAAATACCTACACCTCCAGAAATTGTTCAGAAAGCAATAGATGATTGCAATAATTTGCTACCAAGCACATCAAGAGAAAAATATGAAATCGCTTACAGAAACTTCATGGACTGGAAAATGAAACCCAAGGTAAATTCTTGTTCCGAAAATACCTTGTTATTTTATTTTGAAGAATTGTCAAGAAAATTGAAATCATCAACATTATGGTCTCAGTAGGTACTCGATGCTGAGGAGTACCTTAATTATTAAAAACTGTATTGATATATCGAAATACGTAAAACTACGTGAATTTTTAAAACGCAAATCTGAAAAATATGCTCCAAAACAGTCAAAAACATTAACTTCTGAAGAAATACAATTTTTAAAAGATGCACCTGATGAAAAGTATTTGTTGATATTGTTCAAATATTTTAAATAAAATATAAAAATGTGTTAATGACATACAAGTATTATTATATATGTATTTTAATTTTGAATACTTGGAAACAACAAACAACGCAACCCTCGAAAAAGTACAGTGTACAATGCGTGAGAAAATGACAAATTTCTCACTCTCTTGATTTGCGGCACTCGCCTTCGGCTCGTACCAACAAACTTCTGCGCTCGTAAAAAATTTGTCGTTTTTCTCACTTGTTGTACAATATACTATTTAAGAATATCAGACCAATTTTCCATCGCACTGATGCAGTGGGTAGATTTCTTTGCCAGGTCTAGTTATTGGTATTGATAATAACTGACGAATCATCAGGAAACAGTGTCAGTAATCTACTGATATCATGATAATGAAAAATTTCAGCCCTAGTTTTATCCTGTTCACATATAATGTTTCTGATATCGATGGTTACTCGTTCGATTCAATACAAATTCGTTGGGAAGATATGACCTATCCCAAGTTAAGGCTTGCCCCCTACTACCATTAATTTCCATTTAATTCAGAAGCAGCGTGTGGTTACCAACATCGAAGGCCTTTTGGAAATTGAAGAAGATTGCCGAAATTTAAATTTTATGTCAAAAATATTGAGGACTTATTTATAGAAAGCCAACCGCGCGTTTGAGTTGATTGATTTCTGGTGAAACCGAATTGTTTGTTTGTTAAAGCTGAACGAATTGTTCCTTTAGATGATTTGAGCTGAAAGTTTATAATGTAATCTAAGAGTTTTATTTGAAATGTCTTTCAATAATATTATTGGTTTTCCTTTGATTGATGAAAAAAGTGTCAATTATGTGACCGTTTCTTTTTGTGTAACTTTTCAGTTGTGTTTCAATTATTTTCAGTCGTACGTGAACCTTAACTTACAAGTATTTACTTGATTTGAAATATGTCCCTAAATTTCTAAATATATACTCTCTGACAAAAAAACAATAAAACCATGGACTCGGGAAGTAAGAGCTCTATGTCACAGTGATTTGTGAGCCAGCATTTTGAAGTAGTCGTGTTCAAATCACATGAACGCCAGTTTTTTAATTTTTTTCAACCACTTAAGATTCAAACTATTTGAAATTAAAGCAAATGACGAAAATAGAAAATATTTTTAAATGCCACTCGCTACACTTCTCGTTCGCTGAATATATGCTATTATTTTAGTATTTTTGTTATCTACCTTTTTGGAGATTTTCACATTCCACAATATGAAAAAAAAATAGAAATTGCAATAGAAAATTTCATACAGGTGCAGAAGAGCAAATTTTTTCAGTTCAACCCGATAAGTTCTGCTTGAATTCCAAGTATTTTTCACTAAGAAATATATTTTATTTATCAGTAACTTGTCTTATTTAATAATCTTGCCTAAGAAACAGAAGAGCTGAGATATTTTATAAATAAGCATCTTAACGGTTGGAAGCTAAAATCTGACTCCGTATTCAGGATGGAATGAATCTGTCGTTTTTTCTTCGGTTCGCTTTATTTTTCAAACTACTTCGACATATGCCGAAGACATTTTCACTGTGAACTGTGCCAGACAAAGGAAGAATAAAATTACTAATTTATTATTATGTAGCTAATTTATTGTCTACACTTAATTCTCTTCAATCAACTATATACATATTGTGTAAGAGGAAATATCGGCGTGATATAATTCAAGTTATGAAAACTGAAAAATGTTGACAACTGCCAAAAATTTGTGAATAAATACTATACCAATACATAACTCCTCATGCAATTTGAAATCTCAATATGTTCTAATATCTATATGATGAAGTATTTAAAAAATATACAAAAAGTATACATTTCACATTTTTTTAAATATTACTACATTCAAGCTTAATCTTCTAAGTAGAGGATTTGAATATGACCAGTATAAAACCTATAGATGAAGTGCCAACTTTGATATCTGATGAAAATATTTTCATAATTATGAACATTTTTCTATGTATGTCTGGAAATACCAATTTACATTAATGTTTGACCAACGACGTTGTGTCAAAGAAGGTACTATAGAGGAATTTTCAAAATGAACCAGAAATGTGACAATGTATTCTTTCTTCATTATTACTTAGGTGGAACTAACTCAAACTTCCAGATTCTATTCGGACCAATTTCGGCTATATAGAGTGCTGAACCATTAGGACATACTGCGATAGCATGTGGATTTCCAAAACCCTAAAAAAGATAAAACAATATGAAATATATAACATAAAATATAATGAATATATTAGATTGACATTCGTATGAAATGTCCCAAACAGCAATGTTAATGTTGGTGTTCAAAATATTATGTGCAAAGTACCGTTTGGTGTAATGACATTTCCATGAATGTCTCTATATTCAGGGTTTCCTAAATACGATAGGACAAATGTCCGGAGTCGCTTTGTTGCTGAATATAGAGTGTTGAAGTTTTTTTTAAAAAACTGTGTTTATAGAACATCATAAATACCTATCCTGAATCTGATTTGGTTGAAAATACATACAGTGATTTGAAGTGATGAAGCGCTTAATTAGCCCTAAATAGATTGAAATTCTTAGGTCCACTGGCACCTTAGCGAGAACCGCAGCCAATAATATCGAGAAAAAAGTACACCACCGCTTTGTTTTTGTAGTTCATTGATGTTTTGGATCAATCAGTTGAAAATACAACTTTTTCGTCTCTTGTAGTTTCTTCATAACTAGTTTCGTTTTCGACAACACCTATTGAAGTCACTCTATTGCATATCATGAACATGGATTATTTTACAAATGATATCGAAAAACATCTCACCCATTTGTTTCAAACTTGGTATATACTTTTCACTCATTTTATTTCGAGCTAGTAATTGAATTTGATTTGACAGTCGAGAGGTATTTTAGAAAGCAACTGAGTTGAAATCTGTACTATTGAAAAATAATTAATCATCTGCTTTTCTCAGCAGATTATCACCAAGTCCAATGAAGTACATACTATTTACTTGGGTAGTATTTTCATATCAGTAAAAATCAGAGTAGTCAATTAGTAGGCAGTGATTCCATCAGGAAATAACTTTACTGGTGCTGAAATGGCTGAAAAGAAACCTTCTACACCCATATCACATAAGTGGACTGTTCAAAAAATAAGATGAATGTTCAAGTTTCGCAGGCTACGTATATTCGACTATTAGCGAATTTTTTTTACACTCGTCTCGAACATATGTTAGGCTATCTAAAAAAATATCGAAGAATTTGCATCAAATTTTGTGTAAGAGATGAAATAAGTGCTCAAGAATACTTGAAATGTTGACAGTGGCATTAACCGTATGTCACCGTATGTATTATGAATCAGAAAAACTCTTACAAGTAGTACAAGCTTTTCACAAAGGTTCGAGAAAATGTGAACGTCGATGCTCGCCCTGGACGCCCAGCACATCAACGACCAATGAAAATGTTGAGAAAATGATGAAAATGTATATGTTGAAGCCGGTTGGCTCATTCCATGCAGTTTTTTCGGAAATTTTGAGCATGAAGAGTGTGGCAGCGAAGTTTCTTCCAAAATTGCTAAATTGTGACCAAAAAACCGTCGCATAAACATCGCTCAGACATTGTTGAATGACGTCAACAGCGATCCAAATTTGGTATATGGTTATGATATCGAAACCAAAGTCCAATCGTCCCAATGGAGAGCCAAGACCAAAAAAAGCACGCCAAGTTCGAACATATGTAAAGGTTTTGGTGTTTCTATGATTAGCTTGGCGTAGTGCATGAGGAGTTCTTGCCACATGGTCGTACCGTCAATGAGTTCTATCAAAATTCTAAAGAGTTCGCTTACGTAACACATTTTCATTGGTTTATTGGTTGAAATATTCATCCAGGCTATGATAAGTATACTGTTTCAGGTATTTTTTAACTCCGCTTTTGATTTTTTTTTTTGGAAAGTGATTTGAAGTTGTGAGGAATTCATTATACACCATAATGGCTGTTTAAGGTGGCCCTTTTCTTGATCTGTCGTATTTTGAGAATATATGTGTTATAAAATGTTGAGATATTTAATTTTTGGAAATGATTTCTGAAGGAGCCTCTTTGTGTAAAGTTATATAAAATTCGAATTGCATTTTTTTTAACAATGAAAATATTTTTTGCATCTTTTGAATTACCCCCAAATTCGATACAGATTGATTCGGCCGTTACTTGATGAAGATCCATAGTAATTTCAGAAACTACACCTCACGATTTGATCTCCACAAACTTTATTTTAGAAAATATAATCACAACATGTTTCGCTAGCACAGTAGCTTTCTCAAGTGTATGAATACTTCAAATTATTCATACATTAAGATTTATGTACTACATGTAACCATAATTGAGACTAGCTCAAAAAAATTACCTGAACCTCTACCTATGGTAGGTACCATAGGTAGAGGTTCAGGACTCTTCGAGTCCACATCAGTGGACTCGAAGAGTTGAAAACAAAACGCCACCGCCGTCCCTCAACACTCGTTGATTGAGCAATAATACATTCCACAAAAAGAAGTAGAGGGACGCGGTGTGTTCCTTTTTCTCATTATTACCTCCTCCGGCGCCCAATGATCGATGATAGACTCCGTCTGCGGATCAATGGTCATGCCCTGTACAGGCAAGAGTTCCGACGTGGGGCCGTTGACGGCATACACCAACTTGCCTGAAATGATGACGAAAATGAGTATTTCAGTAGCAGAAATAATTCATGGGTTGATAACACAGGTCTGCAAAAAAAACTTTAAAAAAAATTGTTTTGATTTCGTTAACTGATCTTTATGTAGTTTTTTGCGCTGATTTCAAAGATGACATTTGTTTTTATCTATCAGGTAAGGTTTGCTCACAAATTAAGGATGAAATAATTGAAAAAGTATAAAAAAACGGGGAATCGTGGATTTATTTTAATTATTTCAACATGAGATAAAAGCAAAAAAAATAATGCTACATAGTTAAACTAAGCATATTAGTGATACACAAGTGTTTGCAAAGTGACTATAAGTCTTTGTTCTTCTTCCGTCAAAGCTTCTTTTGGTACTTTTTCGGCTGTGTTCTTGTGAATTTTCCTTTTTAACATCCAACAGTAGTCTGCGATCATGTTAACATTCCACCGAGCTTGGTATCTGCGTTCCTTGTTCCTCACTTGCAGCCCCTAGATTTTCGGGACAGTAGTCCAGATGTGAGTTAAGGAAATGGACTTTGACACTCATGTTGCAGCCCAACATTTTGTAATTTTGTTTCCATTCAGCAACCAAAGATTTGTAATTTGGGTCTTTTTGTTTCCAAGAAAGCCTGTTATAACAAGTTTAAATGAATTCCAGGCATGTTTTTCTTTTATTTCCATTTTAGTGACAAAACTTTCATCTTTTAGAAGTGTTCTTATGTCAGGTCCAACGAAGACTCCTTCTTTTAGTTTAGCATCGGATAGACCAGGAAACTTTTCAGAAAGATACTTGAAACAATCTCCTTGTTTGTCTAACGCTTTCACAAACTGTTTCGTTAGCCCAAATTTGATATGGAGTCGGGGAAGTAAGATTTTTTAGGATCCACTAAACTTTGTTTTTCAACATTTTTAACTCCAGGAATAAGACCCTTTCTTATTGGCCACACCTGCTCCACATAGTGTTGTTTCCTGTCACGGCTATCCCATTCACATAGGAAACATGGAAACTTAGTGTAACCACTTTGTTGACCTAGAAATATTGAAATAACTTTCCAATCTCAATAAATGGTCCTTTCATGATCAGAGTAGCTGAGCTTATTAAGAACAAATTCAAGATTTTCGTAGCATTCTTTCAAATGGACTGAGTGTCCAACATGCACAGAAGCATATTGGTTCCCATTGTGAAGAAGTACAGCTTTCAAACTTCTTTTTGATGAATCGATGGAAAGTCTCCATTTCTCTGGTTCATACGTTATGTTGAACATTTCCATGACGCCATGTACATTGTTGAAAATTTCAGGTGAAATTTGTGACTTATCTATAGGTGATATATTTTTTACTATTTTTTCCGTGATCTGCACACAAATTATGTTAAAATCACTAGTTGAATATCCTACAATTTTTTCATCGCAGATCTGTGTAATCTTACTGAAGATGAACTCACCTTCAAAAATTATTAATCAGCGAACATTATGTGAATAAATCAATAAGTACGGCAAAAATTGCAAAAATTGTGAAAAAAATGTGGATTAATAATAACAATAATAATATTTAATTTTCCATTTAACAATTGAAAATTGTTTTGGATTCATCACTACAAATTAGTAAAATAATATAAAATTGAACACACAAATAATTGAAGGCTAAACAATTGAATCAGAAAAACGAAGAAAGGAATGAGCAGATATAACATGTAAAGTTTGTAAATATTCCTTAACAGAATAGAAACACTTAGTCAATAGGAAGTCCTTTAATTTTTTTTAATCAAAGGAGTGTTTCACATTTTTTGTAAATCCGGAAAGCTATTGCTCTAGTAGAATTATAATGAATTTCTGTACAACTGAAAAGAATATAAAAATGTTCTTGTTGGCGTGTTTTGTATTCGTATCTGGAGTTGTTCGGTGTGAAGTTACTACGATTTTTTAAAGAAAAGAAGAATTCAAAAATTAACAGTGATGGAAGCGTAGGGAATTTTAAATTCTTGAAGTGATCTCTACAGGATGGGCGTTTTGAAACTCCAAGTATAGTACGAATAATGCGCTTTTGTGCAATGAAAACATATGATGAGGAGGTGGATAGGCTCCAGAAGCGCACCCCGTATCATAGTCTGGAATCAATTTGAGCATAATATAATTTTAGGAGTTGTTTCTCGTTAAGGACGAGTTTGAGATTTCTGACTTGATATGTCTAGGAGTTTAATTTGGAACGTAGTGTTCGACAGTGATTATTCCATGTGAGACACTCATCCACTTCAAGGCCTAAAAACCTGACTTGTTGACCAATGTTTACATTAAATCTAATGGATTTCGTTTTTTTCCATATTCAGGCGAAGGAGGTTTGCACTGAACCAATCCTTTACATACGAGAAAGTTTCATTGCATTTATCTGATTTATCTGAAATGATCAGTGACGTATCATCTGTGTACATAGTGAAAGAAGACTGAACCCGTAGGTCATCCAAATCATTCAGGTGTAATATAAAAAGATTAGGCATGAATAAGACGAGTACAAGCTGGTCTCAAAACCGTTCCTTGAGGCACTACATTTACTACTAACGATGGACTACGTGTCCAATTGGTAAAGTCTAGATCAACATTTTTTCATTAGCATTTGCTATAAAATATATAAAATTGAACAAAAATCCTGTCTAGAAGTTCAAACAACTATTTACATTGCATTTGGCCATGAGATGTGAATTTACAGTTATATATTGATGTCGGTTTAAACATCGTTTTTTATTGATTTCTGTCGATATATTCATCAGGAATTTCAACTTTTGTATACGCATTGTTTGCCATCACCTTTCCCCTTTATTTAGATATCCCCTTGTCAACACTCAGCTCAATTTCCTTTCCCTAGGAACACTGTAAGTTATTGCCAGATAAATAATAGTACATACATATTTCACAGGAAATATTAGATTGAAAGATTAGAATGAAAAAGAATGGAAATTCCTAAGTATTTCATTTTTATTGTTAGATAATATAAATATTCATGGTGGAAAATGTGAATTTTCGATTTTTCAAAATAATCAGACCGTATTTTGCAGTAGAGTATGTCATAAGCAGTGTTTCTCAACATAACATCTCAACATAACATCTCAGTGAATAATGTATGTGATGTTGAGCATCAAACGAATCCACTTAGGTTATGTCAATTTTATAGTGTCTCGACATCTTCAAGTCGTTCTTATTAGTACAACTGTACTTATTTTCCTGAAGATGTCGAGAGTTTAGGGAGTCATGTCTACGAAGTGAGACTCATTAGTATTTACCAAATATTACACACCCCTTTATACATAGAGAACATTCCGTTCAAACATAATTGTTAAAGTATATGGCTATGACCAATTGGAAATGTTTGAATCAATATATAGAACTTGGAGAACTTCCGAAAAGAAAACGAAAAACTCCACCTTCAACAACTTCTTTTTGTTATAATAAACATTCGAATACCTACACGAAAATAACTTTTTCTCATTCAGTTTGTATTCCAAATAGATCTATTCGAAAAATTAATCACTTGATACTTGAAAAACTTAATACTTTATGCCATTGAAAAAAACAAATCTGCTGAGTCCCAATGACAAATCGTAAAGATATTCATGAGATAATCAAAAATGTATTCACAACAATAAGAATTTCGTTCACTGAAAATGGGATACTTGTTAGGAGAGGCTTGGTGGCATTTGTCTCATTAATCCACTCACGAGTCGCCCCTGCTAAATGCTCAAGTTTCTTCACTTTGAAGGATCTGCCATCTTTCGTTCAGTTACTGAAAGTACACAGTAGGTAACTCTAACATCACACATTGTAGTGAAGGAACCTGCGACATCTAGTCAAGACACTTTTTTACTTGAATATCAGATGTCGCCATGAAATTCCCACATTACTATTTTCATTGTTAACTTGGGAATGGGATGGAATTTTTATCACTATCGAGATCTCAATATAATGAAACGGCAAATAATTGTAGTATTTGTTTTCACTGCAAAAACTTGAAAATTTCTTGGAAAAACTGAAATCTTTTATAATCATAAACTTTTTTTAAGTGGAATGCTAAATGATGTGAACGTACATTCTTTTTAAATGCGGATTTGATTTTTCAACTACTGAAGTATATGCTTCATGGCGGGTTTATGCAACAATAACAGAGAACTAAACACATGTTAACATAACCTCAATTATTCTTCATTTGATATTCCACTATCTACTATAGGTACCTACTTCAGAAAATAATTCCATAGTAACGCAATTCCAGATTGCTATCATAGATTACTATCTGTGAAAGTAAACAAAAATGTTTCCATCATTTTATCATTAATTTTTACTATACCCTAATAGATACAAATTTGAAACAATCATTTTAAAATTTCCGTAGTCAGTCGCAATTGTATAGGTAGGTATGTGTAAATATTGGCATTCGATGCAAAGAAAAATTAAAGCTTATGATGGTGACCGGAAGACGAAACGTCGGATAGCAAATCTGAAAACACCATTATGTAGCAGGGAAAAGTGTGGCAATCTGTATATTAGTTCCGGAGTAATGTTTTCATTATTTCGATACAGCTGGCATCATGAGGTCAAGTCATTGTCTGTTAAAGTCTTACTTCACTTGTTACCTAGAATTGAAACCTTTTGTGTAAAATGAATTTATTGAAAATGCTTTTCCCACATCAGAACTGAATGATTCTCTTGATGCGTGTTTGGCTAACCAAATTTGCAATATCAGGAATTAACGAAATCTCACAACAAAGTTAGAGCTATTTATATACATCTAGACGAACCATTTTCTTTCGTGATGAGGGTCATTTAATACGTGTCATGAGTGTCATTAAATGAACTCCTAATACTAGTTATTCTATTAGTTGTTATGGTATCTCACAATAACCAATTATTATTTTGAATCAGTGTCATCAAATGCCATTGATTTGAAGTAACCTTCATGTCATGACTCCCACGACTATCAAGTCGTTTCAGCCCTTCAAATCTCCTGGAGATGATAATATATTAATATATTCTCATCAAACTGTATAGAGTTAGTCTGGCGTGGAACTATATACCACCCAGTTCGTACCTCGGTTACTTTGGCAAGTTCAGCAATATTTCGTATTTTCTATTCTCTTTCCCGAAACAGTGAAAAATGTATTTTGAAGGCATCATGAATATTTGAAATGAAGGAAATTATAGAAAATAGTGAAAACTAAATGAAAAATCCGAGCAGGGGGTGGTATACTTCTGTCAACATTTTAATCAGATACCGTGCCACCATTATATTTTGTTATATTGTTAACAAAAGGAAACGAAGAAGTATAGCAGTGACGAAATCAAAAAAACGGCCGTCGGAGGCGGTACAAATCCACCAATATTTTTATTAGAGTCTCTGACACCTTATTATTGTGTTGAAGTGGTCACAACTGGAAATAAAGGAATATGGCAGAGGTGAAAGCAAAAAACCGGCCGTCGGGGGTGGAACAGATGAAGCAATACCTATATTTATTAGAGTCTCTGGCACCTTCATATTTTGTTATAGTGGTCACAACTGGAAATAAACAAATATGGCAGAGGTGAAATAAAAAAATCGGCCGTCGGAGGCGGTACAAATCCACCAATATTTTTATTACAGTCTTTGCCACCTTCATATTTTGTTATAGTGGTCCCAACTGGAAATAAAGAAATACGTCAGAGGTGAAATCAAAAAATCGGCCGTCGGAGGCGGTACAAATCCACCAATATTTTTATTACAGTCTTTGCCACCTTCATATTTTGTTATAATGGTCACAACTGGAAATAAAGAAATATGTCAGAAGTGAAATAAAAAAACCGGCCGTCAGAGGTGGTATAGATCCAGCAATATTTTCATTAGAGTCTCTGCCACCTTCATATTTTGTTATAGTGGTCACAACTGGAAATAAAGAAATATGGCAGAGGTGAAATAAAAATACCGGCCGTCGAGGGCGGTACAGATCCAGCAATATTTTTATTAGAGACTCTGCCACCTTCATGTTTTCGTATAGTGTTAAAAAATGGAAATAAATAAATATGTCAGAGGTGAAATCAAAAAACCGATCGTTGGGGGTGGTACAGATCCAGCAATACTTTTGTTAGAGGCCCAGTCACTTTCATATTTTGTTGTTGTTTATTGATTAAGTATAAAGAGAAATCACAGATAGGAAATTAAAACCGGCACATGCGAAATAAATACAAAACTATAACCAATGAATGGCAATGCAAACTGAATTATATTANTGCTGGTAAAGAGAACTGTAGTTACGACTCTTCAAGGCGAGGCCATATTAGGTTCAGGGTCACCAGAGGCTACCCTGGAGGTGGGGTACTATCTTCCCTTCTGTGGTCGCCCCTGATGGATAGTCTGCTTGATGCTCTCGACAGAAGAAACGTAGATCTGCAAGTTTATGGAGATGACTTTGTCTTGGCAAGGTCCACGTCGAGAAGGGTAGCTTGTAATATCCTCCAAAGCACGATGGACGTTGTTCACAGTAGGTGCCTGAGGAAGCAGATGTCTATCAACCCTAGCCAAAATGTAATAATTCCCTTCACCAGGAGAAGAAAATTGGACGATTTAACGCCACTTTTCCTCAATGGTGAGGTCATTCCATTCAGAACGGAGATGAAATATCTTGGCATTGTCCTTGATAAAAACTCACCTGAAACGCTCACTTGGAAAAAATTCTACACAAAGCCAGATTGTCCCTATGGACGTGTCGAAGAATTTGTGGTGAAACTTGGGGTTCAGGTTCCAAACAAATCCATTGGATTTATGTGATGCTAGTCAGAACAATGACTTATGGAGCAATTGCCTGATGGCCATATGATTTACAGGAAACGGCTCAGGGGAAGCTCTCTGGCTTACAGAGATAGGCTTATCTGGCCAACAGTGGTGCCATCAATACCACACCGTCAGCGGCCATAGAGATCCTTCTGGATCTGCCTCCTCTCTACCTTTTTTTGGGGAGAGAGACTCGATGGACTGCATATAGACTTGTGCACATTGCTAATTGCACACATCTTTTAATGCAGAATGCAACAGACTGTTGGTTTACCCTGGAAGTTACAGCATTCTGGAAATGACCTCTGACTTTATGCCTCCAACTGTCAACCCCGAACTGGCTTATAAAGTACTGTTTACGAGTAGAGAGAACTATATCATCCGGGAGGAGAAAATATTCAGAGCAGATAGTTGTTGGTTCACAGATGGATCAAAAACACCTTCAGGTTCTGGTGCAGATGTTTTCAGTCGCAGATCCAGGACAGAGATATCAACCTGCGTAGGAAACTATGCGACTGTATTTCAAGCGGAAAATTACGCTATTTAATTGTGAGCGGAGATATTGGAAGAATCCAACCTCACACATAAGTCAATAAAAATATTCAACGAACAGTCAAGCGGCGTTGGAAGCTCTTGGCTCCTACCGAGCAACGCCTAAATTAGTAGCAAATCGCCAAAAACGACTCTCCTCGATAGGAAGACATAACAGATTGTCTCTGGTCTGAATTCCTGACCATACTGGCCTGGAAGGCAATGAGGCTGCTGATTCCCTTGCAATGGAGGGTGCTGCAAGCAGCTTCATCGGAGCAGAACCTGTCATTGGCATCGTTTTAGGCGTTGCAAAACAAACATTGAACACCTGGATGGTAAGAAGATTCATGGACTTTTGACAGAATCGCTCACTCCAACTCCATCCTTCGAAGCTTGATACCAAACAATTGTTGGATCATAGTAGGTATGAACTACGATGTCTGACAGGCCTTCTCGTAGGTCACTGTCATCTGAATCATCGTATGCATTGACTCGGTCTGTCGGAAGACAATGTGTGTCGATTCTGCTTGGAAAATGATGAAAAAGTAGAGTGTGAATATGTGTGAGCCACAATGAACCCTTGCGGGTTGCGGTGGAGTGTCGAATAGACTCACTCACTTTTGAACTAACCGAATCCAACCCATTATCGAGGGTAATGCTTCTTCCGGAAGTATGTGAAATTTCCTCATTTGTAAAATTCGATTGTAATCATCCCCCGATGATGGTAATTTGGATAGCGAAATGCGAGTCGAGAGACATATATAAGACGATTATTATACATTCAATGGAACAATTTTCCAACACTAGAACATAAACACTATTTCCATTATATACAATACATTGTCCATGTAAATAATACTTTTTTCCGACCGCGAAACGTGATACATTGAAATAATCACAAAATAATTGATATTCTGTATCACGACTATCTAATTGATGAGAAGTTCAGTCGATTTCTTACCTTTAGCGGCCACACCAAACACTCGGCCCATATCAGGTTGAGTTATAGTTAGGGCAGGTTCTTTCTTGCCTTGAATAGTGTACAAACCAGCTCTGGGGCAAGTCACCCTTTTGTTTTCCCGGTCAGCAATGCATAATCTATCCATCGGCTCTATAAGAGCCAACGCATGAGGAATTTGCAACGTCAGAAATTCTAGAAAATAAAAAAAATACGTTTTATCCGCATTCAATATCATCAGGGAAGAATGTATTTCTTTAAAAATAAGATTTTTTGTAACTTGAAAGAAGAGTGGATAATGATTAGCGACAAAGTAAAATATGTGATGGAATCGCTTGTAACGTATTCAAGAAACACTCCATTGTGAGATTTTCACTGAACACTTACAAAAACGCAACACGTGTTTTACTATACAATAGCTTCTTCAGGGGTGTCTTTACTTAACATGGAGGTCTGATCGAAAAAGCTCTCAGATCTGCTGATCCTCTTTCGTGTTTAGTCGATTTTTTTTATTATTTTTTTTCGAGTATTTATTTTAAGTATTGCATGTACAAAATTATTATAATTTTTTTTTTACAAAATGGGGTTAGATTTGCTCTCTGAGTTCAACATACCTAGAGCTTCTCTAAAAACTATTGGTACCTACTGTAAATAAACTATGCTAAAAATTTTAGCGGACAACAATTTACAAGAAAAAAAAGAAAGATAACTGACTCTAGTGTGAAGCATAAATTCGAACACATGTGTATTTTATCTGTGCACATTAATTTCACCCAAAATTTTGAATTATATTTGATGATTGGAAGAGGGAAGGGATAACAGCAATAGTGGGTGTATTTACTATCGTTGAATCTTATAGAAAGCTTCCTTGTTTTTCAGGATATAGTTCGTTATTTCAGTTTTGAAATTCTTCAGTTTGTCAATTTTTTTAAAAGCTACCGGTATTGCATTGCAAAACTTTGAATCGAAAAATAGAAACGTTCTCTGGGTTATAGTTTTTTTAAATGTATGAATTGCTGATTCTTCATTTCTAGTTTGTCTGGTTGGTTGGTCTGATCTGTTTTGAAGTGGGTTTTTAGTTGTGTATACTCGGATCATACATTGATTGTATGATCCGAGATTGTTCGATAATTAAAACTTGTGTTTTCCAGCAATTCAAACTTGGTCTCGTCATACTATTTTTGATTCATATCAAGGATACTCTCAATTTTGCCTGAAGCTTTTTTTCCTTTCTGCCTCCCTCATTGACCATCATAACAATTTATTGTCGCTACGTACCCTTTCACAAGCTATTGCAAATGCATCTTTAACTAATAAATAGCCAAAAAGAAAAGCGCAGATATTAAAATAATTATTGATAAAAAAACTACAAATACAATGTACATAATAAAGTGTCAACTCAAAAACTGAGTAGATCAGCTTTTATTATTAGAACTATCAGAATAAATATGAAACAGAAAATTGACAAATGCATACTTCCATCGAAACATAGAGACTTATGCAAAGATCACTTCGCAAACCGCAAAATTTTCACCATCATCCACTTATTTATTTTAATTTTAATTATTAGAAAACGATGATTTTTTGCAGAAAAAATATATGAGCGTACAGGGTGTTTATCAAACATTCGACAAAAATTCAAGCTATCATTCCTTGGACTATTCTAAGGATATTTTCGCCTTTGATGATTTTTGATAGGGCGCTTTGTTTCGAAGATATGGAGCGGAAAAGAATTTTGACAATAACAATTCATTACCAAATATTACATGTAATCAGTTAACTAGTTTAAGTGATCCAATAATTTTTCTGAAAAAGGGGTTGGTTGGGTAACATGATCAATTTTTTCGAATTTAATTAAATTCTTCTTCGAAGCTCTGTATTTATGAAAATTCATTGTTACAGAGCCCTGAAGAAGAATTTAAATAAATTCGAAACGTCGGCAAGAGTACAATTGTTTTTTAAGAAAAAATGAATCCTGTTAACCAACCAACCAACCCCCTTTTCAGAATTACATGTAGCCGTTTGTAGTAGGTGAATGGAATATTGTTGATAGGTAGGTACCAACGAAATCGTTAGATTTTTTTATTACTTGGTAGATCCAGTGTAGTACGCTATACTTTTATTTCGGCTACGTTAATAATTTTCAAATTACCAGAATTGTTCATCTTCTCTTTTTTATGGTCTTTGCTTACCTTCGGCGCAGTAGACCAGTATACCAAAATTGTTATTGTCGAAATGCTTTTTCGCCCCGTTTTCATGAAGGAAATGGTCCAACATAAGTAAAATCATTTTCGACTTGGTTCATTACTGACCTGAAATAATTTATGTTTAAGATCAGACTATTGAGTTCTCGATGACCACACAAACTGGAGAATGCTTTGTTTGAAGGTGATTGACAATGTTTCATGATTCATGATGATTTTCAGTCACCCGAAGACGATTGTGGATACTAACAATCGAAACGTCGTGGTTGTAACTTAGCTTGGAGTCTCTTAACTTTTTATTTTTATTTTTTGTTCAATTGTTCTATTTTCACTTGTATTTAATTTCACTATAATTCCATTTCAGGTTTTTTTTGCTTGAATAATTGGTATTTTCAGCTATTAATTTTTGATTCTTCCTTTTTATTAGTTCTTTCAGGGATTTCAAATCATTTTATATAATATCAGACAATGGAAGTCCGAACCACTGAAATTCATCATGGAAAATACTGCGGAATATAGAGGTCAATATAAAGGTACTGAGATTGTCTCAAACAGTTTCGTACGCAATCTAGAGAATTATTTCATTTAGAATGGGAGATGAAAGTATATTGGGCAAAGTTTTCAACTAAGTGCAAACGCACCTCAATACTATCGATTTCGCATTCATTAATAACTTTCAACTCGACTAAAATATCTTCTGCAAATGTGCCATCACCTTTTGAATATTAGTCTGAGCAGCAATTTCCTTCAGTACTTATTTATTTTTTATTCCATTATTTCAATTGAATAACCTTATTTCGATAAAGTTGATCTTTACCTGAAGGACCAGGAATAACTCTGAGAAGAACTCCGAGAGCATTATATTTGAGAATTCGGCTATTACAGTAACCATCAGCTAGAAAGATTTCTCCAGTGGTTGCCACGGCAATGGAGGTGGGCATGCACAAATGTTTGGGGTCAGGTCCTGGACGAAAACGTTCACCAAATGTCAAAGTTGGTTGTAATTCTCCAGGTTTGAACTGAAAAAAAATGATGATCAATTTTTTATACTGCTCTTTGAAGTACATTATTCAAGAGATAATGAAGTTTCACAGTACATTTCACTGTCGGAGTTCTCTTTTCCTCATCTCAAACTAGTTGTTTACTTATGATGTAAACAATATCAGACTATCATCTTGAATATTTCATTTGGATGAATGACTCAGTTAATCAGATGTTGTGACAGTTGCTTTAAGAAGACCGTTTTAACTTCGAATAGACTTCATAATTTGAGGGCTACTCAAAATACAGCAAGATACTGAATATAGGATATAGAAAACAACTTTTGTCTGATTTTCACTAAGTTTTTTATTTGTTACAACCGGTTTCGGTTTGTTGAACTGATACATTTTGTCAAAACAAGTCCTTAAATATACAATGATACAGTCAGGTACCTGCAATAGGAAAATTTGTAGAACATCGGCCGTGAAAGCCTACACACCATCTGAAAACAATTTTTAAAAGTCAATGCCATATTTTTTTTAGTTCTTCTTTTTTAGTTGTTTCAGGGATTTCAAATCATTTTATTTTCCCTTCCCTTTTAGACAAGGGAAGTCCGAAGTAGTGAAATTCAAGATTGCAATATAATTTGAAAGCAGTAAAAATGGTAACTGACATTTTGGCCTGTCACTGGTATCTGCAATAGAACTCACCTATGACGGAGAATGGACTCACATTAATTCATAATGTAAATTGAAAGATACACGTTTCTAAAACACTGAATGAGATCAACAGACAGAAAGCGAGAACACATTTTATTGTATATTCCATATGTTTTATAAAAACATTACAGTATCTAACAGTAATTTTGGGATTAAACTCCTAAAGCTTGTACGAATGTTAAGGTGCGTATTCACAAAAAAGCGAGCACGAGCGAGCATAAGCGAGCATTCGTGTATGTTTGCTCGTGTTCGCTCATTATTGATTATTGATGCAGAATGCTCGTTCACTCTTGTTCACTCGTGCTCGCTTTTTTGGTGAATACGCACCTTTACACGTTAAGGTGCGTATTCACCAAAAAAGAGAGCACGAGCGAGCCTGAGCGAGCATTCGTGTATTTTTGCTCGTGTTCGCTCATTTTCGCTCGTGTTTGCACGACATATTGATGTCTCGTCCACACCAGAGTGGATATCTTCAAGTTCGTAGTCGTAGTTGATCCATCTACTTTGTGCGAGCACCTTTTGATGTACCCCCTTCTTCTCGATCTTTTCTGAACGCGAACAAGCATACGTTCGCTCGCTCGCTAGCCCGTACTCACCAGACGATTATTAATGTAGAATGCTCATTCACTCTTATTCGCTCTTGTTTGCTCGTGCTCGCTTTTTTGGTGAATACGCACCATAAAGATACGCACCTTTAAGGTGCGTATTAACCAAAAAAGCGAGCACGAGCGAACAAAAGTGAACGAGCATTTTGCATCAATAATCGTCTGTTGAGTACGGGCTAGCGAGCGAGCGAACGTATGCTTGTTCGCGTTCAGAAAAGATCGAGAAGAAGGCGGTACTACAGGTGGGTATTCACCAAAAAAGCGAACATGAGCGAACACGAGCAAACATACACGAATGCTTGCTCATGCTCGCTTTTTTGGTGAATACGCACCTTTACACAAACAGTAAACATGTTTACGAGTCAGCATTGTGATACGAATAAATGATGAATCAGTACTTCAGGTAACATATTGATAAAAGAGTTGACTCTCTGATCATCACCTGAATTTTCAATCTAGATTATTATTTATTAGATCCTAAATGCAAATAGTACCTTGAATGCTTGGTGTAGGGCTACATCTGTGACCCACAAATTGTCGTGTCTATCCACTGTCAATCCATGCGGCATATAGAAGAGATCTGCTCCCCATTTTCCCAGTACTTTTCCAGTCTGTGGGTCTAAAGTAAGAACGGTGTGTTCCTTGATTGGTCCCAAATGAATATTTTGGTAATGGTTCGAATTATTGAAAGTGCTACAAAATTCATTATAGGATCAGTATAATTCATTCATCAGATATTTTAGTGAATCAGAAGTCTAGTTCTAACATGATAAGTTTTTTATTTCTCCCAGGAAATTTTCTCTTTGATAATTTTTTTCATTATTTGGTATATGAAAGGAAGGATATTACAAAAAAATATCAGTTGAATGTAGAGGAAATTAGTGGAATGCAATAAACGAAAAATATTTCATGGAATAATCAGTAAATATAATGTGCCGGTGATAACAATATACTTAATAGTTCGTGTAATGCTTCAGTTTTTTTTTGAACTGATAGTACCGTAGAAGAAAATAATTACTACTGAAGAAATCAGCAGGCTTTACACTACAATTTTCAAACGTGGATTATATCAGTTTTTAAGAAATAATAATTATCATGTCCTGTCACCGTTTTTTCGGATTTACTTAGGTATCATAGACATTTATTTTCCAGCTAACATTGTCAGTTTTCCTCCGAGATTGTAAATATCTACTACATATTGAATTTTTGTATAAGTAATCATGTCTTTCCTCAAATCTGAAACAAAAAACATAGCTTCACCTAAAACATCCAGCTCAACTGATTTCAAATTTCTTCGTCCAATAAGCATACTCTGCTCATCATCTAAAGTCTTCGAAAAAATATTATTTTCCCAGATTCAATCTCACCTAGATTTTAATAGTATTATTCACAAGTGTCAGTCGGGATTTAAATCTCAACATAAATGTGTCAGTGTCCTTCTAAATACTACCGATGACATCTTTAGGGCGATAGAAAAAAAAAACAGTTAACGGCTTTAGTAATGCTTTATTAAACAAAAGCCTTTGATGGCATCAATTACACTTCACTATTTGCTATCATACAATATATTGGTTTCACAGAGGGTCCAGTTGGTTTACTTGAGGCTTATTTTAAAAATTGCACGCTCTTCAGCTTCCTGAAAGAACGTTCCCTGCAAGTGGCCGTCGACGGATATCTCTGGAATATTTTCACCATCAACGATGGTGTTCCCCAGTGACCTATATGTCTCCAACCCTCTTTCTATTGTATATCAACGACTTATTGGAAAAACCCAGGAATCCAATATATTGCTTTGCTGTGGCGGATGCACATCTTCACCGGCAGCAGGAGGTTGCATGTCTTAATGAGGATCTAGAAGTCATTTCGAATTGGGGTGAAAGGAATCAGTTTCAATTCAATGCCATAAAAACCCAGGCATCGATTTTCTCCAGAAAGATAAATGTCTCCGGAACGGATATAACAATGTCAGAGCAGACAATTCCACTTTCGGCTTCGATAAGTTTGTTGGGGGTTGAATTGGACACCAATATATCTGGGCACAATCATGTCGCTGGAATTGCAAAAGGCGCTTCTCAAAAACTGGGAACACTGTTCCAAACAAGAAAACTGTACACACCTCAGCAACTTTTAATACTTCATAATGCTCAGATCGTACCTTCTTTGGAGTATTGTTCTCATGTATGGAGCTCCGCCCCTAAGCATACCCTGAAGCTGCTAGATTCCATCAAGAGAAGAGTCTTCCGCCTGATTAGAGACGCGAATATCACTCGCAACCTTGATAGTCTGGAACATCGAAGAAAAGTTAGAGATTTGTCCCTCTTCCATAGATACCTTCACGGGAAGTGTTCAAGCATATTTGATTCCACCAAGAGCGGTACATATCAGAAATACGCGACAAACTGTGACTGCTCATCATTTTGAGATTCAACTCAGAAATTCAACTAGAAATTCACTGTTCAAGAACTCTTCCACTTGAAGAACTCCATTTATGTGGAATAGACTTCCTGAGAACGTTTCTCCAAATGGATTTAATCTCCAGCGATTCAAATCCAATGTGAATCACAACTTTTGCACAGCACCGTTCATAAAGCACCTTGAGGATTTTCCTGTAGTGCTTGTGTTTTGTTCACTAAAAAAAAATCCGTTTTGGTGAAGGGGTGTTGTTCTAATTGTATGCACATGGCGAATGGAGTCCCACAAAGCTTTTTACTGGGACCTGTGCTATTCGTCATCAATACGCAAATTTATATTTCATTTTCAGAAAAAGATCTCCATTCAGCAAACTTCCAACTAAATTCAGTAATTTTGGAGAATTTGAACAGTCTTCAATTTTACTTTCATAAAATTCTTTCTTTCTTCACCTGATTTCATGCACAACAGTATTTTTTGAACTTGTAAATAATCTAGTTTTCATTACTATTCGTAATTGCAGTTCTTTCAAACGAATTGTCTCTATTAACGAAATATTCCTGACTTCATCATTTCACTATGGATCATTTGCCCACTTCGATTTGATACGAATACTTGTTTTAGGAATATCCAAATCTAAAACTCATGTGAGAGCTTACCCGTATTCTTCAGTTAGTTCATTTATACTTTCAGATACGTTCCCTCATATTCCTTGTTGAATACCTTCCATGGAACTACCAAGATCAAGTGTTACGAGTTTCTTATCGTTTTGAATTCAGGTTGAATAGTTGAATTTTTACTGAGATCTATAGTAATAAAAAAGCGTTCAGTTAGTTTTGGAACTTCATCTACAGTAAACTTTAAATTTTGTCATGAATCAGAATCTGATCAATTTTTATCAACAATTTCATATGATCTCATTGTAGAAATAATTTCCTTTAATTTTCTCGAATAGATTCATTATTTCACAAGTGACAACAACTTATGAATTCTCAAGAACACGTTCATCCAAATATTATTCAAATTTGTTCAAAAATTCTGTATGACTAGCATGTGGTGATACACTAAAAATATTTTATGTTCCAATTTCTCTATCGTTATATCAATACGTATTATCCAAACATTTTTTTCATATGAAATATTCACCAACTTTTTAATATGAATTCATCCTTCACAAATATTAAAACACCTCCAGTAGGTATGTCTACTGTGTGAATAACAAACATAAAGTTTATACCCCAAGCTCGTAATATAAACTTCATTTGAATCAATTTCTTTAGTGTTTCCGTTAAACAAATGATTTTAGGTTTCAGTTTATTTATGCTTAATTTCAGTTGTGTTTTATGTTGTACAAAGCTCTGTATGTTTTCACATAAAATATAACCATTCGTATTCATCATTGTTAATGGATTGATTATTTGTTCCGCTATAATTTTTTGAGAAAAATAGGGTAGTTTCTGTCAAAACGACAATGCTTAGTATCCAATTTAAAATCATATTCAACATCGATGTGAGTACAATTGATCACATTTAGAACAAACCTGTTGTCTTCTACATTTATCAATAAAATGTTGGAAATAACTACATTTTTAAAAACGTCTCATACACAGGAAATATCGAATCATTTATACAAAGTACATCTGTTTTCAAGATCGTATAGTAACTTTTCTATCACAATGAATAATAGCCTGAAAACGTATAATAATTTTCTTTATTGCAATCAGTTCAATATCGAAGTATTCTGTTACACATTTATTATCCTTTTCGATCATATCAATGAATTTTACTTCTTCACACTCCTCATTCATACCGACAATTTTCAGCATTGGTTTCTTATTTTCCGGTTTCATCTCATATTTATAACCAAGTTTTTCTCCAGTTCCTCTTTTAATGATATCATCAATTCTCCATTTCTCCGAAATTCAATTTTCTATAAAGTAATTTTCATTTATGTCTTTCTTTCTTTTACTGCCGTCTTGTTTTTTCTTAGGATTTACAATGAAAGCTTTGGTTTCAATATTGAGATTATCAAGGCAAATGTAAGTTTTTGAGCTTGCGATATCCAATTTCGTTTTATGAAATGTTTGAATTGAAGACTCAGTGATATGGTGAGGTGAAAAATTGGCAACAGACTTTGCACTCTTCAAATTGAGCATTTCTTATTAAATAAACTTTATTTCTTTCCAAATTGTTTTCATATCGCTTACTTTTCCTCTGAGTAATATGCGAATGTGTTTCTTTCGTATATTATTCGAATTTTGGTCTCGATAATTTCTTTGAGCAGGTCAGTACTTTTGTTCTTAGGTAAGTTTCCTATATTCCAGTTAGTTTTTCTTGTGAATTTTGAAGTCTTTTTGAATTTTTCATCTGCCTAGAATATGTTGACGCTTTCAATTTATGTCAAATTTAAAATTTGGGGTTATTCTTGATTTTTGTGGTATCTATCCAATATCTATAACTTTTTCAGCGAATATTGTCAATATGTTCAAACTTCGTTATACCTATATTAACAATATATTCGATTTTTTTCAATCCTTTTTTGAGATATTTCAATTCCATTAAATGAACTCTAATCCCTGTCAGGCTATGAATATACTAGAGAAACAGAAAAATCAAGTTATCCATCACATTTAGGAAGTTAATGCTTACATAAATAAAAAATATGCTCCTTTAATAACCATCTAATGGTGACTCGATATTTTTTGTCATTTAACAGTTAAGTACGTGAAAAAAAACTACAAATATCCGACTCAGTTTGTCACAAAGTATTAGTGACACTAAATAATTAAGTTACGTATCACATTCAGGAAGTCAAATGCTTACATGTACTTTTTTTGTGAACGTTTTTCAATGCAATGAAAATTTGGAAGACTTACTTTTGATCCCACACTCTATCAGCTCGATGAAAAATTACTGGTTGCAGAGCTCTGGAAAAAAATCCTTTTGGAACAACAAATTCCACATGAACATACTTTTGTTTGAGCGAATATTATTAACGGTTATAACTATATGTTATAATCTGATGCGATACTATGATAGAAAAAAATATAGGCATATATTGGTTAGAAATGGCTGATACTTGATTAAAATCCATAAAATCCAACGAGTGATGCAATCTATCATAAGATTTTTACTGTGAAAGTTTTACAAAAACTGCTACAGATGTTACAGCTTCCCCAAGCGAGAATGTTGAGGAAGCTCTTGTATAGCTAAAGATGTGTCGCTGTTTTCGTGAAACCATTATGGTGAAAATCTTGCAGTAGATTGTATCAGTTATTGAAGGCAACAAATGATGTAATCAGGATAACAAATTTCTCGAGCACAATACTTGATGTTATTAGCCAATGAATCTTGCAATTTGTTCGAACATGGGATATCAGATCACAAACTTTTTTCGAACTTGATGTTCCTATAACACCTAGTGAACCTAGAATTATATTGAATACTGCTCTTTCAAAAATTTTAACTTGAATTGCTTCCTTGGTGATTTATCTGGCATAACACCATCACCGAAAATGACTTTGGTGAAAAAATTGAATTACCAGATGGGTTTTTATCAACCTTATTGGGTATTTTTACCTTCCACATTCTGAAAAATATGAAAATTATATAAAAATGATTCAATTACCGACTCAACATCCACCGACACCTTTCACAACCTTATACCTTACATTCTAGGACTATCTGAAAAAATAAGACGAATTGGAAATAGGTATGATGTTAGAACTTCTTTCAAAACAAAACATACACAGAGATCTATACTCACACATACAAAACCCAACAACACTGAAAAAAAAAACAAAAAATTGCATTTATGAGATATCTTGTTCTTGTGGTAAAAGTTATATTGGTGAAACTTCAAGACCCAAATGGCTACCCATTTCGAAGAATAATTTGGATAGTGGCGAAATGGCAACTGACTGATATTGTATTGAATCGAATGTTTCAAGTTGTCAATCAACAACATTGACATAATTTCACATTTCAAAACTCCTTTGACATATGTCGAAGAAGTTGAGAAATAAATAATCAGCAAAGGAATAACTGCAAATATCTTTGAATTTTCTGTCTATTTCTGAAGACGGAGGCAGATTTTGGCCTCGGAAACGTAAAGATAAGTATTGTATTGTTTTTTATCAATTTTTTTCATAGGTCAAATTGTTGAATACGACAACTTAATGATAAATAAAACATTTTTGTTCGTGAAAAATACTTTGATTTTACGAAGTAACTTATCGGAGAAAACTAAAAAGTTTGCCCTTTCTACAGTTGTATAAAGTTCTCCATTATAATTTTCATATTTTTCAGATTGTGGGAGGTAGAAATACCTAATAAGAGGTCGAAAAAAAATTGACTGCAGTTTCTGACAATTCGGCCAACTGTCATACATTGAATAATTATTTCTCTACTACCTACAAACTGTTTCTAATGTTTGTGAAGAGAATATGAACATTTACAGTAACTCAGTTCATATCTAACAACATTTTTTTCCACTTCACTTCAATAGAAGTTCAGGATTGTCATTTGGAGTAAATAATATAAACCCAAGAATCTTACCACTCTGTAGCCCATTTATTGATAGATATATAGCTCATATTATCAATAGTTGCAAATGAAAGATCATACTTTCCAATACTTTGGAAACACTGATTTGGTGTACCAATTCCAAATAAAAACAATCCCAAAGAATGTTCGGATTTGAGAATCCTTAGTTTTCTACCCACTGTCTCCAAAATATTCAAAAGATTATTTATGACACAACCAAAATCTGATATCGTTTCTCCTAGTACGTAAAAAGTATGGTAGGCAGAGCTTTAGGATCACTTAAGCTCATTTGGAGTAATCGGCATATTCTCAATTTCATATTGAAACGTACACTATGAGTCACTTGTTTTGAGTCACTTGAATTACTGTGACTTCATTTACGGTCATTTTTAACGATCGTTGATAGAATGCGAGTTCAGAAGGTATAAAGTAGTTGTTGTAGACTTACGTTTGGGATGAAGAAATATGAACCCATCCCTCATAAACTCATTGAATGTAAGTGGTTCAACGTGGTACTTGAAAGAAATGTAAACCTTCATCTCACTCTCCAATGCATATATTCATAATCGATAGACAGTGTATCATCTATAGTATAGTATATTAGTTAACCTATCCAATCTGTTACATGATCTCCACCATATGGTCTAGGAGAGTAGAAATCAAACACTCGAAACAGTTAATCAAACAGTTGAGTAGATTACGTTACTTCCACTCATCAAAAGATAGCCCGCGTGGACCGTCACTGGTTACCAAGGCGACCCATTACCGGATCGGCACGTATAAACAATGTGGAATTTTTCGTCATTTTTAAACATTCTTGCCACACATTCCTTATAAAAAAATTGTTCTCACCTGCTTAGTTTCGGACGAGTTTTTGACGCTAACAGCTATTATTATCAGAATGAAAACCAATAAAGTGCATACTGATATTACATAGTTTCTTTTAATATTCATTGTGCCATCGCCGCACAAACTACGGACTCGTTAGCACCGTTGAAGGTAGTGTGGTCGAGTGAGTATGACGTATAACGGTGCTCCATTTCTCTTATGCGTTTACAAGGATGTGGTAGCCACTTCTATTTGTTTGCAAAGTTTTTCGATATATTAATGGTAATTGTTAAAATTTCTTCATGCTCAATGTATAAATTCGACGAAAGGCAGACTGAAATTCAGAGTTTATGAATTTATTATTTTTTATGACTAAACGAGAATGTACGAATACGTAGAAGGGCCACAAATTTAAAAAAACACTTACATTCCGACTTTGAACGTGAAATTTAATAAAATTACGGTCTCAAACTCAGAATTTTTAATTCCAGCAGGATTTTAAAACAGTTATCTTCATTCGATTGAGCTGAAATTTTGTGTACTCGTTTAGTTTTTACAACAATGGTGGATTAGCTTAATGACGACATTCTACATTCAATAAGACCAAGATAGAAAACTAATTTTATATGCACCTTCATGAGTTGGGTATTGAATGGAAGGGGTTTGCTGAAAATATGGAAAAGGGTCTAAATTCAATATGGTGGACCGGTCAAGATGTCGCACTTTTTTTTGTCAATCCTTCGATACGGGTATCAAGTGAAAACAATATGAGAAATAAAATATCGTCACTCTGAATCCAATGAAAAAATGAAAAAAAAAATGATTAAAAGCAAAAAAACATTTCGAGTACAAACTTCAATTCACAAGCACCGAAAAAAAAAGAGTTGAATGAATCAAACCAATAAATCAGTGTGAAAACAGGAAATGTAACTTGTTTTTGATATGATGAATTCTGATATGATGAATTCAAAGGTTGACATTCAAGTTGAGTAGGTATACGTGTGTCCTTAATAGTAACTATTCATGTTTATTGCCTATAAAATAATAAAATGCCATCACAAAATGGAACTAATTTGAACCATTGTAACCATTGTCTCTCATTTGGACACCCCAGCACATCAAAACTGATGGAAAATGTTGAGAAAGTGAAGAAAATGATTATGGAGAATCATCGAATCACTATTAGAGAAGTTGCTAAGGATGTTGGGATATCGGTTGGTTTAAGCCATGCTTTTTTTTCAAAAATTTCGGGCATGAAGTGTGTGGCAGCGTTCCAAAATTGCATGAGCATCGCTCAGGCGGCTCAGGAATTGTTGAATAACGTCAACGGTGATCCAGCTTTGCCTAAAAGGGTCATAATTGGTGACGATTTATGGATATATGGTTATGATACCGAAACCAAAGGCCAATCGTCCCAATGGAAGAGCCCCAGAGAATCAAAATAAAAAAAAAGCACGCCAAATCGATCATAGTTTTGGTCACTGTTGTCTTCGATTATCGTGGTGTAGTGCATCAGGAGTTCTTGCCAAATAGTCGTACGGTCAATGAGGAGTATTATCTTGAAGTTATGCACCCCTTGCGAGAAGCAATACGAAGAAAACTTTTTTCTGTTCCCAAGACTGAAGATACACATGAAAGAAAAGATGGCGTTTTACGACGATTGAGGAGATAAAAATCGAACCGCTAAAGGAATTCAAGAACATACCAGAAAGTGCATATCAGGACTGCTCCGAGATGTGAAGAAAATACTGGCACATGTGTATTATATCTGAGGGGGGCTACTTTGAAGGGTACAAAATGTAAATTTCGTGAAAAATTAAAATTTAGTTCACTTTGTGAACAGACACTGTATAGCTCCTTTTGATGGACTTGAGGTAACAAACATTTCTACAAAATTCAAAGGTCTCTACAGACCCGTTTTCGATCAATGAGCAATATCAATAATCTTACAATTACCAGAATTTCTAGTGTTATAGTAGCTCACACATCTGTGATTCGTTATTGTAGTCAAGGGCAAAGAGGTCAGAGGACATTCACTATCCCCTCTACGCAAAACTTAACGACCAGGAAATTCCTCATCTAGGTATTCTCTTACAGGATCATAAAAATGTGGAGGTGACCCACTCTGCTGAAAAATTGGATCGTAACCGGAAGCATAATTTTCAAAAGCAGCTTCAATCCAAGGTGTAATAGCTTCTTCTAAAAGTTGTAAGTATAAGCGTTCAGAAAGATTTCCGACGATAAAAATAGACCAATTTCCATATCCTATGACTCCTGCTCATACGTTTAATTTCTCAGGAATTTGTGTATGAGCTTCTTCCATACATAGAGGAGTGTGATCACTGCAGTATCAACAGTCGTAATCATCAACATCACCTTTAATGAAAATGCTTGCTTCTTCACTGAAACATATTCGACAGAGGAAGTTGGGTTGTAGGGCAATTAAATGTTTCATGTTTTCGCTAAACTGCATTGCTGCGAGTCACCTGCATTCAGTTCTTATGCAAAATGGATTTTAAAGAGAAATGGAATCCATGTTGTTTTGAAAATTAATTTGTCTGTACATACAGCGGCAGCTTTTGTGCACACTGATTGCTT